CAAAGGCCAAAGAATGTCTACAGCCACCAGAAGCTGGAAGAGGTGAGTAATGAATTCTCCCCTAGAAATTCTGGAGGGATGATAGCCCTGCTGACACCATGGTTTTGGCCCAGTAATACTGATTTTGGACTTCTGGCCTCCATAACTGTAAGAGAATGAATGTGTGTTGTTTTAAGCAGCCAAGTTTGTGGTAATTTGTTGCAGCAATCACAAGAAATGAGTGCACAACCCTCTTTGTGCTTCCATAGATCACTACCACATTGTATTAATAGCAACATTTATCAAGCACTTAATATGTGCCAGGCACTGGGATAAATACATTGTTGTTATGTTGTTAGGTGCCATCGAGTCATGTCCAACTCATAGTGACCCTATGCACAGCAGAATGAAACTCCGCCCAATCACACTCCAGTTCCATGATCCTTGCTATACTTGAGCCCATCATCACAGCTACTGAGTAAATCAGTCTTGTTGAGAGCCTTCCCCTCTTTCGTCGACCCTCCACCTTACCAAGCATGACATCCTTCTCCAGGGAATGGTCCCTTCTGACAACATGACCAAAGTAGGTGAGATGAAGTCTGGCCATTCTCACTTCCAAGGAACATTCCAGCTCCACTTCCTCTAGGACAGATTTGTTAGTTCTTTTAGCAATCCATGGTACTTTGAGCATTCTTCGCCAGCACCACAGCTCAAAAGCATAAATTCTTCTTCGGTCTTCCTTATTCATTATCTAGCTCTCACATGCATATGAGGCAATTGAAAGCATCTGCCTCATGTCAGGCGCACCTTAGTCCTCAAGGAGATATCTTTGCTCCTCAGCACTTGAAAGAGGTCCTTACAGCCAACTTGCCCAGTGCTATATGTCATCTGATGTCCTGGCTGCTGCTTCCATTGGCATCGATTGTAGAACCAAGCAATGTGAAGTCCTTGATGCTGCTTATAGGTCCAGTTGTGAGAATTTTTATTTTCTTTATATTGAGATGTAACCCATACTGCAGACTGTATTCTTCAATCTTCATCAGTAAGTGCTTCACGTCATCCTCACTTTCAGCAAGCAAAGTTGTGTCATCAGTATATTGTAGATTGTTAATGATTCTTCCTCCAATCTTGATGCCATGTTCTTCTTCATATAGTCCAGCTTTTCGAATTATTTTCTCAGCATACAGATTGAATAAGTATGGTGAAATGATATAACCCTGACACACTCCCTTCTTGATTTTAAACCATGCAGTGTCTCCTTGTTCTGTTCGAACAGTCTCCTGGTAATA